GGACGCAAGACAAATCACAATAACATGCCGTCGGCTCCCCTCAAGCACCCTTAGAGTGGCCTAGATCCAGAGAAAAAGAAGAGAGAGCGTTCTATATACACGCTCCTTATCCAAAACTCACTACTACCATTCGCGTGGCGACACAATGAGTGTGACAGGCCACGCCGCCCTTTTGGAACGCGTGCAGGCTAGGCTAGCTAGGCTAGCGTACGCGTCAACACGGCGTGTGCACACGCCCACAACAGCTCGCGGGCCGCCCATCTATTGCACACAAAATTCGCATTACACTGCCGCCCTGTCCCACACCTTTTGCGCGACTCCTGGGTGCCAACCATATTCGTCGGCTTCCTTGCCCCCGGAGTCGGACCATTGCTGGCCGGGAAACCGCTGCACCCGCAACACCAGAGATTGATACACCACAATATAGACCCAAAAGGGTAATGTCCACTTGCCCGAACCGAAACCCCTCGCAAAAACGACAACAACTTGGTCACATGGACCGAATACCGGCATACTTTAGAGACCCACAACCATGGGCGGTACGAAATCATACCCGCCTTAACACACAATAGTGAACACGCGCCCTTAACATACATAAACAACGTGCCTGACCACAACCCCGTCAAAATCCGACCAACACCCGTCGCTCTAGAACAACGCATGCAACAACCCCCAAAATACAATATCACGCGTGTCTACTGTCATCCATCCGCAAGGCAACGCCTGGGGATGCGCGCATGACCGCGATCCCCAGCCGGTCAACAAACCGTGTCAGCAACACGCGCAGCTTCCAGTCCAATACAACCTCTGCTAGCAATCTCCAACAGCGCTCACGGACACAGTCCAATACACAATTCCAATACAGCTCGCAGCGACAACAGCACGCACACGAGTCAATACGACATCCGCCGTGCTTAATGTTCCTACGCAATTTCTAATGATGATTTCTCATACATTTCTAGTCCGCGCAGGGACCCGACACGCGCCACAGAGCTAGCTGCACCTCCGATGGCGCGGCAGCAGCGTACCAATAAGCGCGAACGACGGCGTACTCGGTGAAAGCGCATGTATTCACTTCAGCTAGAATTTCATTCGTAACTAATGAAGCTCTACTAAAATCAACATCACACATGCGCCACGGATGGAACCGCGCATGTATACATCCCGCAGCTCTGTCCGCTGGCAATCGTCTCTCTACACGCGGCGTGACATCGTCCTTGCGCGGTAGTTAGCTCGTCGCGTTTTAATGTCGCTCTGGCCGTTTCTCTACACGCGGCGGGTTGTGTTCCCGGCGTGAGACGCTTCGTAACTAATATGTTATTTACAACACACGCCGGAGAACACTTCCGCATGCGAATGATTCTTTACTAACATTTTGCGAGAGTACTCAGCCGCCGGAGAACACCTTCGTATGGGCCGTACTTAACTACGTACACAGATACAATAATTCGCGGAGAACTCGGTACATCATCCCTAAACTCCTGATATAGCGTAGCCTACCTCTCCTGTTACCCCTGTCTGCCCCAGTCCCAGGGCAATATCTCAGACAGTACGGCACTCATGTGGCGCAACCTGTGTGCGCCGCCTTCTTGCAGGGCCCGTGCTCGCCTCTACTCCCCTTTCTCTCTCAGATCTCCCCACACTCTCTCACATACACACCTCAGCTAACTCTGACTGCATTGGTGTCCGACGACGAAGTGGCGGCGGACTACGGCGTTTCCCACCAGGCCCGGTAACGGCTTCCGTTCCCCGGAAGAACAAAGGTTGTTGAAGGCAAACACGCCACGCACCCGGCGGACATCGATCGCGGCCGGCTTAATAACTCTAGCTGCGGTATCAATAGGCCCGTGTTTGGCCTAGCAGTAATTCAGTGAGGCGGTGTGTTGGTGTGGGGGTTGGTACTTGGTTTTTTTGGTTTTTTGTGGACGTGACCGCTACTCACACGCGGCCCCCTTCAAGACCACTGCGCCGGGTTGCTTCGTCCTTCTCGACGCCATTCTTCCCATCTCTATCTCGTAGCTCGTCACTGTTCGTGCTTGGCCGCTCGCTGTGTCGGCCAGTTCCTCCCTCCGCTATGCGACGGCTGGCGGAGTCTGCCTCCGGCTACTCCGCAGCCCTCGCTCTCTGTCCTCGCCGCTGCGGGCATCGTCCTGTCTTCAGCTCCGCTGCGCGTCCCTCTCGACTTTTCCTCGGCGCCAGTCCCTCCCGCTCGCTAGCTCTCCCCCGGCCGGGACATTTCTTAAGTGCGCTTCGGCGTGCGCTCTGCTGTACCTAAGCCGGGATCACAGGCTCGTGCTGATAACAGCGGTGATCATCGGCCAGCACGTGCCGATGCTCCCAGCTCGTGTTTGTATCCCCGCCCCGGAAAAAAATTACAGCAAGCGTTTCTGCCTTGAGGGCGGTACACAGGTGTTTGCCGCTGGTATTTCTACGCCCGTACGGCTTGGCGCTCCACTTATTTCACTGGCCGATAGCGAAGGGCAGCTTGACCCGGTCTTTCGCTCCGCGCGGCGTGGTCCTCCACGCCGAGCGCCTACTACCTGGTCACGGACCACTGTGACGAATTCTGGCTTCCTCTGACGACCGCGGGTGTCACGCGCCCAACCGCAGGCACGCAGGAGTGGCACGGCGGATGCGAGAATAAGCGCGAGATAGATGTAAGAGTAGATGCGAATGGGACCGGGGTACGATTTATTGCTGAGTACTGGCGCGCACGCTCGCCGGACACGCGTGCCTCACCATCCTCTAACTTCTAGAGGTCGCCCCGCTGACTGCCACCGATCGCACACACGTAGAAAACACTCAAGTTAGCAGTAGCTCGCCTCTTTCCACAGGCACTTTACGTCGATCGTTCACGATAAACACTAACTAGTAAGTAAGTACTACCTCAGCAAGCACGATTGACGGCTCGAAGCACGGGTAGAATTACGAAGGCTGAACCCATCACAAACGACTACTCACTCCCTTGCTGCCGTTACGTCGACGTTCAGATAAACTACTAGTAGTAGTACTAGCCTCAGCACACCATTGAGGCTCGAACGTCACGGGTAGGATTACGAGGCTGGAACCATCACAAACAACGCTACTCACTCCCTGCTCGCCTTTACGTCGATCGTTCACAGATAAACACGTACTAGTATTAGTACTAGCCTCAGCACACGATGAGGCTCGAACGCACGTAGAATTACGTATAGCTGAAGCCCATCACAAACCACGTACTAGACTCTCCTGCTGCCTTGACGCAAGAGCAAACGACAAAACAACGTCTCCCCTCCAGCACGCTAAGAGTTCCTAGACGCAGAGAAAAAGAGAGAGACGTTCGAAACACCTCCTGTCCAAAACCTGCACCTACCTTCGCTGGCGGCGACACAATGAGTGTGACAGGCCACCACCCTTTTGGAACGCCAGCTAGCTACGGCGTAGCTACGCAACGACTGTTGTTCACAAGCTATAATCAGTCGTCAGTGGTTCGCCTTATTATTCACACATTCTTGCATCACTCTATATCTTCTACGGGTTAATATTGTAGCCCCGAGCGCCGTTCCCGTCTGTCTCTCCGCCGTCGTGTGCGCCGAGGCTCGGCGCCAGTTCGTCGGAATGGCAGTGTCTCCCTGTCCCGGGTAAGACTATAAGCTCCCTAGTAAGAGGTATAACCTTCTCGGCCGTCGTCCCTGCTTCGTGGTGTGCTCGATCCACCCGACGGCGCGTTTCGTTTCGTTCGTGCCGTCAAGAACGGACTGATTTTACCGTTGGATCTGCTGGCTTATAATAAGACCCTTGCGGTGACGTAGGATGCAAGCCAGTGCCTCCCTGCTACACTGTGCCTCAGGGCCTGGTCGCTGTCACCCGCCCCGCCTCGACGCGTTTAATCGCTTTAACACCTGTGGCACGGGTGATGCAACTGCCTCTGATCCAGTATATGTCCGAGCGTACGCAACCACACGGCCCCACGCCCGTCCGCGGCACGTGCCTCGCCGGGTGGGGCAACTCCCTCGCCCCGTGCGTGTACATGGTGCGCAACTCCCTTACCTCCCACATCTGGTAGCTATGGACCCCCTCCCCCGCGCTTGTCTGTCGTTGGAGAAAACTTTCCATCTCTTGTTGCTGTTGAACTGGTCTCTGTTGTATGACGTCATCCGCCCCTGAAATCTCCACACTGCTACTGCTACTTACTAACTACTACTGCTGGCTTCTACTTCCTGCTGTTGAATTTTGAAATTATGTTGACTGGCTTAACCACCCTGCTATGGTCAGCTACAATAAGAAGCAGCCCGATTACATTACTCACTCCAATACCTGGGCACACGGTGAGATTCGGCTCAGCACGATACGTGTTCCGGGCATAACACCGTACTCGTAGTGTTCAAAAACCGCCCGTGCGTGGAAGAAAATAACAGGCTTTACAGCATAAACAGTATGTACGTGTATACTAAAGCAAGAGTTCATGATGATTTCCGGACAATAACGAACAGCTGTTTGAACAAATTTATTGAACAATAAACAAATGTGTCATGATAATAACTAAGCCTAATGCATAGTCTTGTAATACAATATTATAATAACTGCAATATACAGTATATCGTGCTGGTACAATGCAGCAGTAACGCAAACATGAGCTACACACCATATGATAAACCCGTTGAACAAGAACAAAATGCTGCAGCCGTTATAAAGTACTGTTTACTGTTTCAGTCACAGAGGCTACAGTTATTGAACGTTTCCATTAGTAATTGTGCAGGACCATAATAACGTGTACGTAATACATCCTAACATATACTTGAAAATGAACAACGAAAATGAAGCAGTTGGCCAGGCAGCGCAAAAACTAATCAAAAGAAACTAAACTTATAACTCGTGACTAATGGAATTATGATAATTGATTAAATTAATAACATAACTAAACATGGAAAAAACACTGCTGTAGCAGAAATAGCTAGGAAGCAGTGCTACACAGTCTCCCGTCAACCGTTTTCGTGGCTTTTTTTTCATGTGAAAAATCAGAAAAAAACGAGTTTCCAGTCAACCTCATAATAAACATTTTACCTTGACCCCCCCCCCCCAATTCAGTACATTATCTTCTACCTGAACAAATTTCAATAAACATTATTGCTGGTATACTTCCCACCACCATCCGACCACCAATTGGCAAGTCTTCATTATTTCACGTATGTAGATCAGTTGAGGGGAGCAAAACACGATACAAAACAATATTGCTAGAGCACCATTGTGACACCTGACATGACTGCAACAGAAGCCCAGTACAAGTAAAGCCGACTTGCACTGCTCGCTCTTCCACAAAGAGAGTCTAATAATGTGTAAGTAGTTTGCTTAATAAATGGGTAAAAGTCTTCACATTCTGTAGGCTCTCCAAGTGCATAAATGAGTGTAGCCACAATAGCATCCATCTTACTGAAATACAGGAAGGTTGGCAATTATTGTCAGTAATACCAATCAATCAATGATGGTAACCAGTGATGTCCCATGATCGACTATAATCGATTATCGTTTTTTTATATTTTAAAATAAAATTTGCAAACATTGATGAAATGATTCTTTATTTCATTTTTGTGTTTTTTTGTTGTTGCGAGCAAGTATAATACTGTTACATGGCTTTTAAAATATTGTATTATAAACAATACTGTATTATAAGATATATGATATATTTTAATATCTGGTAGCCGCGATCAATAACATTTAACTGATTACCTTCGATCATCGATCGGTTGGGTGCAACCGATGATCGTTGATGAAATTCCAACCGATTCCCATCACTAAATTGGTAACTATGCATACAACAAGATATTATCGGGCCATTTCAGTTACTTTATATGCAATATTAATTCCTGCTCACCTACAGTCTTCAGCACTTAGTGGTTTTCCACCAGTTGTGAAATCTATCTGCATCACATCTGTGGATAATTTTAGTTGCTCCTCCTGTGACAATTCTCCTGTCTTTCGTATACATGTTTCAAACTGCTCCACTGCAAAGAAATTTTACGTGGCACACATCAACTTTTAACTTTGCTATTAAATAAGATAAGGTAGAAAATCTGCTAATTAAACATTTTTTATGACTAATTAGCAATTAAGTATATATGTAAACGTGTAAATGCAAGTTTGCTTGTGCATAACTTAAACCAATGCTGAGAGTAACTACTTTCGGGAAATTTTCGGCATTTTCACTCGCTGTCAGAAGTGAACGAGTCGAGTGCGTCATTCATTGACCATTGAACGTTTTCTTCAAATTAAATAATTCTGAAAATCCCTAACTGCGCTACTCGATTGTTTTAGCCAATGAACGTAGCTGTGTGTGTGACGTCTTGCCCGCGCGCTTTATGCTTGGCGTACGTAGCGGGCCTCGAAATGGATATCGGAGGCTAGCACCTCGCAACACGCGTATTTGTTTACATACATGATACATGTAGCTTTGTGACGTACGGTGTTCGGGAGTTCTGCGATGATAACCTCGTAATTTCTCAGCATTTCTTAAGGTGCATGGAACATTTTACCAATTTAGTGGTGTCAGTTAGTCACGGATATGTCACAGCTAGTGAGTACTAACCGTATATGTTTCACATACGCGATATACGTTCACCTATTTTTCACACAGGCGGTCGATCATTGTGAAAAATTGTGTGAATATCTATTTTTATTGAGACGTTCCAAGTGCCTGTGCTTTCAACAGTCACGCGCGCTTGTACGTCAAGAGTCACAAACTCAACACAATTTCATCTCTGTTATTGTTTACGCATGAATGCATGATTGATCAGGGAGGGGGTGCATGTAAGAGGGAGACATTTTCTTTGGGGTTCCGAAAAACACAATTCCACTTGACAATTTCATGGGCCATTTCAATTGGAAGCTCTGCATAATGGACCCCCAACAAGCCCTTTGACTGACTATTCAAGAAATTCAAAGGTCTGTATATTGCTCTTATTTAGCGGCCGATAGTTCTTATTTAGAACAGTCTTCATTGTTATCTTCTAAAACTACAGACCATCCGCTGATCGCTGTGGAGTCGTGCGCCGCGCCTCGAATTCAGCTCACGTCTCCACTGCAGACAGCTCTTAATACTTGAACATTCCCGCGGAACTGCGCGTCTCATTCGCGCGCAGCGCTCAGGATCATGCAACAGCAAAGCTGTACCACGCAATCGTGTATCATGTCTCTCTGGATACACCACAAGCATTAATAAATGGCATCAGGTAAAAGTTTGTCTCCTCTCTCGCTACACAATCGCGGACGTTATAAGTTTGCGAACTCAAAACTCTTGAATGTTACATCATGGGCTATAATTACCATTAATTTTGCAGTTCCATGCTAAGCAGTGGTGGATCTAGAGGGGGGATTGCAACCCCCACCCCACCCCGTTCAACTACTGCCTAATGTACGTTATACTAGTATGAAAGTGTCAATGACACTGTAGCTCACCACAAATAACGTTTTTATAATATTCAGATTTATGAACTGCCTATAAAAGCGGAGCTCCTGATGTGTAACGTGTAAGATTGAGAGGATACGCTTATTCCACGTAGCTGCTATGTACCACGTGACAATGGTGTTTCCCTGCCCATAACACAACTTTTGTCAAAGGTTAATTGGTTGCATGGAAGCGTTTACTTCGTATAAATTTTTCTAGGCGGTAGCACACGGTTGCCATCTAGCTGTATATCGCAATAATAATTTATAAACCAAAATGAATCACAATTTGTGACGGTAGATGGCGCTATACCCGCTTTGTAGCAATGGCATTCGAAATAAATAGATTATGCTGCGTTCCGACATGTTTCGTAAAACTTTACTCTAATATAGACATTTTATCGGCAGGCTGGATAGGAAATACCAATATTGCATTAAAGATATTGTCAATGAAATCTTGTAAAACGAACCAGATGAGTGTGACACCACAGACTGTTTGTTATCAGCAGTTATTTTTTTGCATAAATTGCATAAATTAACCTACCTAATTTGCATAATTTTTTTTTAAATATCAAAACCCCTAGCCCTTATTCATTCACATACCAAAAATGAGCAAAATCCGTTCAACCTGAACTGACTAATGGCAATTTCCATTTTTCCCAAAAAATCGCCGTGGCTTGAAAGTACGCCGACTGGCGTGCTTCAAAATAGGACGTTCCATATGGGAGCATAGCAGTGACAACTACACCCAATTTCAAACATGTCGGTCAAATGGTTCCTGAGTTATCGTTGACCGAAACCAAATGTTGACGGATGGACGGACGGACGGACGACGACCCATGGCAATAGCTCAGCTTGACGATGTCAAGGTGAGCTAAAAATGGGCCAAAAGTAAACAAGTGCCGCAGAGCGACAGCGCTCACCTGACGGCAGGTGTTCTGATGCTAAACTCCAGGGCAAATCCGAATCAAGAGCACGCCTCCCATCGGTCCGCGTTAGCTCTCGCCTGCGTTGTCTCTGCATTCTTTCTCTTTCGCTTCTCGCTCCTTGCTATCTCTTCCCTTCGCGCAGCGGTGCGAGGTAAACGTAGACTTGTACATTGTGGTGATAAGAGGGGAGATGGACGCATATGGGCTTTCTCTCTCTCTCTCTCTGCTCTCTCGTCACTCTCACACTCAACGACTCACTGCTCACTCTCACACTCCACAACTCACACTCACACTCAGCACTCCACACTCACACTCACACTCACACTCACACTCACACTGCACAGTCTAGACTGCAACTCACACTCTCATCTCTCTCTCTCTCTCTCTCTCTCTCTCTTTCTCTCTCTCTCTCTTCTCTCTCTCTCTTTCTCTCTCCTCGCGCTTCTCTCTCTCTCACTCTCTTTCCCTCGCTCTCTCTCTCCCTCTCTCTCAATTTCTCTCTTTTCCTCGAGGCGGTAAGCGGCTGCCGGAGCGAGCTGTATGACCGATTGTCTATGCAGACTGATTGTCTGATGGTCTTCTGAACCCTAGCAAGACTGTTTCGTGGAGGCTAGCAATTGCGTAACGTTTTTTATATAACTTCAAACATAAATGTTTAACTATAAGTATATGTTAATCTCGGGTGGCAGCTCCGGCAGCCCATGTTTATACTATGTTAACGTCGGGTTTCCGCAGCAGCGGCCACGATGGTAGAAAATTATGAAAAATTGCATCTAAAAAGGCTGCTTGTGCCAGCAGACAAGTCGGCTGACAGATCTACTTGTCGCCTCGCGTGGAAATGGACAAAGTACAACAAAGCGGATAGCCCTTATTTCTAAACACTGGGATGTGTATCAGGAGCCTTCTCGAACAAAATGGTTCGTTGGATCGGTTATGAAATGTTGCCACGAGATGCGCGTACGTTGGTGAGCTGTGGTAACGGCTGCGTGCCATCGTAGCGTGCGTATAGTAAACAACTATTTGGCAAGAGCAGATATATGTAAGTCACTCGTGCCATTTACCTACAGCGCCTACAGGCCTGTAAATAGAGAGCTTGGCCACCCGTGTACGCTCAATTTATGGCAGGCAAAAACTACAGCCATTGAATATCACGCACCACATGCAATCTGGCAGTGGCCACTGGGCAGGTGGCATATTAACACAGCTGAGCTAGTACAGAATGCCATAGGAAAATCTATAGCGGATTTTAAGGAGCAGTAAACCTGCTTCAACGACAACAATTTAGCTTTTGAAATATATGCAGCTGTGACAGGTGTGTGCCTCATACATCGCAAGGCGATGTATAGATTCTACTAGGCAAAGCCGCAGCAGTCAATTCTTTCTAACACAGTAACAGTTAACAAATCCATGTTTAAATTCCGCTCCTCTTGAATGGTCAAAAAGGTTATCTTAACACTTACTGGCTTGCGCAGGCGTCAGTGAAAGCAGCATTTCATGGTCCTTTGCATAAAGGCCATAAAAATGCTAGGTCACCGCTGAAATAAAAAGTTTCCAATCGCTGCGTCAACACCATTCCTCAGTAAAATGTCTGTAAAATGCTGCCGCTGTGCGGCACGATTGACGCTTGACCTGTGACCGCGTCTCACATTTTCGGGCACAGTGATGGCTTTTCCTACCATGAATGCTATACACCGACTATCACGAGGCCTAGGTCGACGCATTTAGATTTGTGCTGCACAATTCTGCAGTTTTCCTCCGCTATACCTAAGTTAAGGAAGGGAATGTTGTCCCTTCTTTACACCTCTTGACCTTTGACTTTTGACCGCCTCAGCTTCGGCTCCCAACTTCGTTTTCGATACCCCCCACGTCGCCGACTTTCGACATCCGTAGCGCTGGAGCCGTTTAGATTGTGCCGCGAGACTGTTGACGAACGGCATGGACGGAAGCGGCTGCGACCGACGAGAGAGCGCCACGCACGCGATCTGTCATGCGATTTCTAGCAAGCTGCATCTGACTATGTTCAGATGAGCGCTAAAAAAGCTGCAGTCCACAGCAGATAGGAAACTTGGGTATTTCTCCTGTGACCATGAACAGCTGTCCTGAATTCTATCGCAGGTGGGAGGGGGGCTGACCCCCGGACCACCCAGCAACGCGTGGCACGTGCGCTCACTCAATATCACGCCTGCCTCCTGAAAGGCTACTAGTGGCGCACCCTGGCTAAGGATAAGCCAAGTTTCCTATTAGTTAAGCAACCTTGCACAATAAATACCTAAATCCTTTATAACTTACTAAAACATTTAGTACAATTAAATTTCCCTGAGCGCATAAAATGGTTGTGCGCTATGTGTAACTCCTCAGAGGCCGAGAGGCCCTACCGAATTTCGTTGACGAATGTTGTCGTTTTGTCACGTGGCAGGTTAAATTACATTATCTAAGGCTGGTGAATGCTGTTTATGGGTGTGCACGCAGCCAATGTCAGCTGGTATTTACGGTAAGCGATTCTAATAGTTTAGTAACTTTTGTTATTACGGTTTTTTGGTCGGGACGGTTATTGCATAGGGTACATTCTTTTACACCATCCCAGGGTGCAGTATACGCGTAGCATATTAGAATGAATTAAATGTCAAAAATAG